TGTCCCCAAAATAAATAAACGTTAAAAAAAAATTAAAAAAAAAATAATTTCCCACAATGCATCTTGGCTCCCCAGTTTGCTGGATTTCTAAAACCATTTGCCATTATGTGGCTGAAAGAAAAGTCCCCCAACCCTCCAAGCGGAGCCGCTTCTAGGTCAAGCCCCTGGCTTGACCTTTACCTAATTTTTAAATTAATTAAATGTTTCAAAATTCCGCTTTTGGGAGGTATAATTTACCAACGATAAAATACACCATGCTAAGTGTCCAGTTCTGTGAGTTTTAACAAATGGACATGGTGTACCCCTTACCACACTCAAGATGCAGGAGATCTCCGTCACCCCGGAAAGCTCCCTTATTTTCCTTTGCAGACGGTACCCTCCAGCCCTAAACCCAGGCAATAACTGATATGCCTTCTGTCATCATAGCTCTGTTTTTTCTAGAGGTTCACATATTTTATCTTCTACATCCAAGCGTCTCCCTTATCACCCGTGTCACTAGTTTGTTCCTTTTTTTATTGCCGGGTAGTGGTAGTGCGGTACAGGGATGGGCCACGGCTTCTGTTCTCCTGGAGGTGGACATTTGGCTGTTTCCCGTCCTGCTTCGCCTTCTGAGTGACAAATGCTGCGTGAGGCTTTGTTCAGAGATGGGTTCGCGTGAAATCCGCTGTGCCGCTTGAAGCAGGGCTGGCCGGCCCAGGTGGGCAGGGTGTGTGGGGATCTCTGCTTCCTGGCTCAGGGAAGACAGGGCTGCTTTCTCTCTGTCCAGGGAGTTTGCTGGACTTTCTCAAGGGGGAGACAGGCAAGTACCTGCGGCTGCCACAGCTGGTGGACATGGCTGCTCAGGTGAGTCAGCCCCGCCCACCTCCCACGGCCTTGGCCCTAGAGCACTCAGACCCACTTAGCTCAGCCCCCTCCAGGCAGCCTGCCTTGACTGCCGCCCACACTCTCTGATCTCACCACATTTACTACGGAGACCACTTATACGTGCTGTGAGTGGTGGCTCTGGGCAGAGCTTGAAAGAACCCTTAGCTGGGCGTCAGGAGTCAGTGATGCCTGTGGGGCCTCACACCTCAGTTTTCTTCTCTGTAAAGGTTGTTCAGTCACTCAACAAACCTGCGTTGGTACTTGCTTGCTGTGGGTGGTGCTCGACAATCATTTCCTCACTAATCCTTATCACAATCAGGGGAGGTAGGGATGGCCCTTATTCCATTTGACACATGAGAAAATTGAGGTTCGGAGGGGACTCGGGACAGCAGGCAGGACCTGGCACTCATCTGTATCTGTGGGGCACCTGGGGCCTGCCTCTTCATCGTCACCCTGCTTCCTGGGCGGTCTTGTCTTGTGTTTCCCCTTTGCCCTCGCCCTTTGTCCCGCGTTCCCTCTTCCCGCTGAACTCTGGTCCTGCTTTTGTGCCAACGGTGTTTGCTGTAAGCTGACTTCGCTTGCCTGAGGGCTGGCAAGGGCAGGGCATTTGGCTCCCCACCCTGGGCACGTGACTCGTGACCTGGAAGGGGGCACGGGGTGGTCCCTGAGCCGGGTTCCCTGGGTTCTGCCTGCAGATCGCCTCGGGCATGGCCTACGTGGAGCGGATGAACTACGTGCACCGGGACCTCCGTGCTGCCAACATTCTGGTTGGAGAGAACCTCGTGTGCAAAGTGGCCGACTTTGGGCTGGCTCGGCTCATCGAAGACAATGAATACACCGCCCGGCAAGGTGGGCAGGGCCTGGGTCGGTGCCAGAGGGCCCTCTGCAGGCACCGTCATGACGTTCTGCTGAGCCTCCCCTGAACTCTCTCCCTCCCACAGGTGCCAAATTCCCCATCAAGTGGACGGCTCCAGAAGCGGCCCTGTACGGCCGGTTCACCATCAAGTCAGATGTGTGGTCCTTTGGGATCCTGCTGACGGAGCTCACAACAAAGGGACGGGTGCCCTACCCTGGTAAGAGGGCTCCTCGTGGCCCATCTTTGTTCCCTGAACCCCTCTGCTCTGGTGACCTGGGGCAAGCCATACCCCTTCCCAGGCCTCAGTTTCCTCATCTGTAGAACAAAGAGGTTGAGCATCTGATCTTAGAATCTCTCTGGTCAGGGCTCTCAGCCCCTGGGAGGCGACCTACCCATGGTCACAGCCGCTCTGTCCTAGGCTGGAGGCACTCTCGGTTATCCTCCTCACATCTTCCCCCCGCCCCACTTTCCTCACCTGAGCCAGCCTCCTCATACCTCCTTCTACCCACAGGGATGGTCAACCGTGAGGTGCTGGACCAGGTGGAGCGGGGCTACCGGATGCCCTGCCCGCCTGAGTGTCCCGAGTCCCTGCATGACCTCATGTGCCAGTGCTGGCGGAAGGAACCGGAAGAGCGGCCCACCTTCGAGTACCTGCAGGCCTTCCTAGAGGACTACTTCACGTCCACCGAGCCCCAGTACCAGCCTGGAGAGAACCTATAGGGAGCACACTACAGGGCCAGACTGGCCTCTTGGCTTGGATCCTGGGCTGGGTGGCCCCTGATGGAGGGTCTTGCCTCCCTCTGCCTGCCCGCATCGATCCCCTCTGTGGGGCTGAATTGCCAGTGATGAGGCCCCTCCCTCTTTTGTGGCATGGAAGGGCTTGGGGCCTGGGGCAGCCTTGAGGACAGGGTTTAAGGCTGGCACAGTGACTGCGTCCCGGCACCTGCTCCAGCCATATGCGTCCTCCCTGCCTTCCCTCCTGGAGCTCTGTGTATCTCAGCAGGAGGAGCCGGGAAGAAGGACGGGCTGAGGGCACCCTTTGTCAGCCTCAGTCTGCTCCTCACGTTGACTCCTTAACACTTCCACGTCACCCCACGTCTGCCTCCAGAGCTGGCCGAAGAGCCTTTCCAAAGAGGAGTGATGGGCGCCTGGCCCTCGGCCTGCCCGCCACCCTGACCTTTGCCGTCCATTTCTGAAACACCTGTTGGTGGAAGCTGCTGGGTCCAGACCCCTCTGCCGTGGCTCCCAGGCTGGGCAGCTGAGGCTGAGCTTGACTTGATGATGGTGGGTGGGGTGGGCACCCCCCTCCGATCCTGTTCTTAGACCCAAGGGACCCTTCGAGATCACCAGTTCCATGCCCTCGTAGCACCCGTGGGGAAACAGTCCAGAGAGGGGATGTGACTTGCCCACGACCACAGAACAGTTCAGGGTTGAGGTGGGTTTGGAACCCGGTGCTCCCTCTGTCTTCCTCAGGAACCAACAAGATTGTCCTTGGAGGCACCATGGACAGACTGGGGCAGCCCAGGGGACCAGGGGCCTGAGGCTGAGTTAGAGATAACAGAGCCTTGCTGCCGCTGCCTGACTGGCAGGACTGTTGGTGGAGGGAGGGAGTGGAGACGGGCGTAGGGCGCAGCTGAATGAGGGGTGACCATGCCAGTGTCGGGGAGTAGATGTCGATCAGAGTGGGAGTGTTTTTTTCATCCTTGGAGCTAGCCAGCCATGAAAGAGAGTGAGCTCCCAGGCTCCGGAGGCAATCAAACCGAAGTACAAGATCCACGTGGTTGGGTGGTCCTGGCCTCAGGAGGGAACCCCAGGTTCTCCTTCCCCCGTTTGTCCTGTGTCATTTCAATGCCTGGCCCCTGCTCCCCTCCCCCAGTTAGCACCCCTTAACCCATGAGTAGGAGAGGAGTTCCTATGCTGGGGGGTGGTGGGTGTCGAGTTCAAGTGTCCACTGCCGTGCACCAGGCCTGGCTTTGTGACCTCGGGTGGCCCCCTCCTTCCTGTCTGGGCTGCAGCGTCTGCCTCCATGTGTGGCCGTGGCCTCTGCGACTTCTCTGTTCCAGACCCCGTGGCCTGGCGTAACCTTGGTGAGCCCAGCCTGGGGCGTTGGGAGACTCTGGCCCTCGCTCTAATGTTTGGCCTTAGGGTATGTGGCGACTCCTCCCTGGGCCTCAGGCACCCCATCTTAAAAGGGGTGGCCGACAGTTTGTGGGCATCTTGCCAGGGCCCCTGTGTGTGTGTGTGTGTGTGTGTGTGATGTGTGTGCACGTGTGTGTCCATATTTAACGTGTAAAAATGCTCCCCCGCTCTGTTCCCCAGACATGTTGTACATTTCACTCACAGCCCCCCATGACAGCAATAACATTCCCGCTGCCAGGGGCTCTCGAGCCAGCCGGGCCCTGCCAGCGGGAAAGGAGGCCAAGCGGTGCCTGCCTATGAAATTTCAACTTTTCCTTTCATACATGTTTATTACGCAAGTCTGCCGTCCGTCCCGGTCAAATCTGGGCTTGCTTACCCCGGCGCACTCTCAAGTCCCCTTACGGCTGCCTGGGGCCCTTTGTATGAGGTGTCCTAATACTGTTCTGTTTTTTTTTTTTGTTTTTTTTTTTTTTAAAATAAACAGTGTTTTGTAGATTTCAGATGACTATGCAGAGGCCTAGGGGACCCCCGGCTCTGGGCAGGGCCTGGGGGTCCCGAATTCCACGGCCCAGGCTTGGGGGGAGGGGGGATCCAGAATTGGTTGTAAATACTTTGCATATTGTCTGATTAAACACAAACAGACCTCAAAGTGTGGCCTGTGGTTTACTGGGCATCCACTGTGTGCTGGAGAATGAGAGGGGTGAACTGTGAGGGCAGACTGTAGTCAGAGGGGCCTTTATTCGGGCCGCACTGGTGGCCAGCGGGCTTCAGGCCAGGGGGAGACATGATCAGATTGGAGACAGCCACTTGGGCATGTGGCCGTGTGTGCGCCAGCACCTCTGTTCGGGGACTGGGCACATCTGTCAGGAGTTCTGCTTGTGTCTGAGACGCACCGGGGGAAGCCAGGACTCTCAAAGTGTGAGCAGTTCAGGACGCCGATGCCCCAGGGGGAGGGTGGCAGTGGACAGTCTGGGGGCCAGGTGGGGCTGTTGGGCCTGGGTGGGGTTGCAAACGTGCTCAAGGGGAGATGTGGCCGTGTGTATGCTGTGTTGTTTCCCAGGAGCGCTGGGCTGGGCTGGGGCTCTATCCACAAAAGTCCTGGGCACTCTAGGGAAAAATCCAAAGACCTTTCCTCTCCTCCCTTTTCCCCCACCACTAAAGGGACACAACCGGGCAGTTCATTTGCAACAGTCTTTACGAAGAAATTTATTTTACATCACATGGCACATGCATCTGTGTGTCACCTCTGGCCGTTGTAATAGTCTAATTAAAAACAAATTTCAAGATTAGGACATTTCTCTCTGCAGTAGTATTTCCACAAGCCAAAAACCATAGTATCCAGGTCAGAATGGACACGCAGAGATGTGCACACAGGAGCAGGGATGTTTGTGTTTGTGGCTGAGCCTTCTGTTTGCTCCTAGGAGTGTGTGCCTTTGTGTTTGTGTGGGTATGTGCCTGGGCCAGTTTGCTCGTGGGCATCTGTGTTGGTGTGTGGACACACGTCCTGGTGGTCTATGAATCTGGGTTCCCGGCAGTGTGTGCCTAGCTGTATGAACCTTCATATTCACCTGGGTCTGTGACCGGGAGGTTGGACATCTGTTTGCCCAGGGCCGTGTGCATCTGTATACACACATATCCGGGTTGTGTGCCAGCCTGTGAGTTCCCAGGGTGAGTGTGTATGTGGGCATCGATGGGATATGAAGCCAGCGAGTCTGTTTTCTCCGGATCAGTGTGCGGGATTTGTGTGTGTCACATGGACACGTGCCATAGTTGGTGCCTGAGGTTCGGGCTCCCGGGGCCAGTTTACAGCTGGGTTCTGTGGGCTTGGAGGGCACAGAGGGCACTGGCCACTCCTGGCAGGGCCCAGGTGTGCCTGGGTGGGTTGGGGGAGCTCAGGAACGTGTGCCAGCAGGCCAGGGATGTGCCCCATCCCCGAAAAGGATGGGGACAAAGTGATCCCCCCTGCCGGCAGGTGGGGACTACACTTGAGCCGTGCTGGGGGGCGGTCGAGAACCGCGTGGGGAAAGGCTCTGAGCCCCCTTTCTCTGCACCTCTCTGTCTATCTTGCTCCGTGTTTCTCTGTGTTTATCTCCCTCTGTGCCTCTCCGTCTCTGTCTGTCTCTCAATCTCCCGCCTCCAGCTCTCTGTCTGGCCCTGGCTCTCTGTCTCAACACTTTTTTTTGTTTCTTCCTATTCCCCCCCGACCCTTCTCCATAGTTCCCGGTGTGTTTCTGTGTGCTTCTGATTTTCTTTCTGTCTCTGTTTCTACGTGTATCTCTATGTTTCAGGCTGTGGCTGGTTTCTCTTTTTCGCCGTGCCTGGCTGCTGTCTCTTTCCCTAGTTTCTCTGTCTCACAGATTTTCTTGCTTGTCAAGCTCTCTGACTTCTGATTCTTCCTCAGGCCCTCCCACACCCCTTGCTTTTCCCTCTGCAACCTGGAAAACTCCTATTCATCCTTCAAGACACATCTCAGAGGCCACAGACCACCTCTTGGAGCTTTCCCTGACCCCCCTGAAACTTGCAATGGTTGTTGTGTCAGTCCACACAGCTCACCCGCTGGTACAAGAGCTTGAGGGACCAGGGAAGGTCGAGCTGATGCACCCAGATCTGGCCCACGTGTCTGGTCAGGGAAGGGAGGCAAGAAAGCTGGTTCCATCTCTCCCACCTCTTGTCTCTGGCTCCTTCTCTGGTTTTGACTCCCTCACTCCGGGCCTCTGTCCAGTTCGCTTTTGCTCGTCGCGAGAGAGACAGAGTGGAGAGGTGAGAGATGCGCGGTCTGGGCGACCACCGTCCCGTAGCCCCTCTGCTCCTCCTGCAGCCCTCTCCTGATTCTAGCCCACTTCCGGGGACTGGAGACCCTGGGACCCCCGAGTCCTCTCCACCTTCTCTTCCTGATTTCAGTGGTTTTTCTCTTATTCTGCATGTATTTTTTTCTCTGAGGAAAATGAGATGTCTTCCCTCATGGAGAAAATAGTATATGTTCCTTATGGCGGAGTAGGAAAGATACAGAAAAGCACACACACGGACAGACCCTGATCTGTGCCCCAGACTCCATCCCTCCCGCCCAGAAAGGGGGGGGCACGTGTCTGTGTCCCAGGTCCATTCAGACCCGTCATCTGTTCTCTGCCCATTGGCCTCTGTGTCTCCTTGTCTCTGTCTCAGAGGGAGTCTGTCTGTCCTCTGGCTCACATTCACTGGCTCTCCCCGTGGGCTGCTGGCCTGGTCACTCTTTCATACGTTTGTGTGGAAGACTGGTATTGAAGATTCGCCCTGGGCCCAGTCCTGTCGGGGCCCGTGTAATGTGTGAGCAGCCGGGCCTGTCTGTGTATCTGCGTCAGGCCTTCTGTGCCGGGTCCGTCTTTCTGGGACCCTCCCTGCCTCTGTTCTCCGCGGTCTCGCTGGCCTTCTCAACACCGCTGCACTTCCAGGGGGTGCGGTGTGTGCACCACGGGCGTGTGGGGGTGGGGCACGTGTGTGTCCCTGCTCCCTGCTGCCTCCCAGGCTGTGGCCCGTGCTGCCTTCATTCTCTTCATTCATCTTCTGCTCCTGTCACCCCCTTCGCTCCCATGAAACTCTTACCA